GAAGAAGAAGAAAAACAAAACAAAATCGCACAAAACCTCTCGCATCAACAATTTCTTTGTAGCGAAAACAAAACGTCAACAGAAGTGCTTCGCAGAGCGCATAGAACACACCATGCCGCAATGTGCCCACACTATTCATAAAATTATTATTGCTATCGTTACTATGGCCACGACGAATATCACAGAGTTCATTCAAATAACTTCTACATCGTTTCATCATACGTTCCATCCACTCCATTGATTTTCTGAAAACTTCTCTCATTCCATTCACGTTCTACAGACCTACTTCAAAAAACTGTTTGCATCGAAAAGTTGATTAATTGTATATTTTGATCTGATTTAAATCGACCTGATTTCAAACAAAACCCATTCTCAAATACCTCAAAACTGAATAGAATTGAAATTGTGAGAATTTCTCATAAACTAATATCAAAATCGATCCCAACCTCAAGCCAACCGATTCAGTCCTCGCCAGAAACGCGCCCATATAGCAAGCAGCACCCTGAGATTTTTTCCAATCATTCGGCGACTGTCCAGGTCTCATAATAACACGCCATAAACTATCCAACATTGAGTCCATATAACTCTGAACTTTATCATTAAACCAAAAAAANAATAACACGCCATAAACTATCCAACATTGAGTCCATATAACTCTGAACTTTATCATTAAACCAAAAAAAATTCAAAACGGGAAATTAAACTTCACAGAAATGGCGTTAGAACTTCGGAAAAAAATATATTCTATTGAAGAGATCAAATTGAAGGAACAATTCCAACTTCTTGCCTTCCAGAAGTTGAAACGTGTTACAATTTTTGTTACAAATTTTGGGAATCTAACCTGAAAATTATTTCAGAAATTCACGCAAATGAACATCCGAAACGAAATGAAAATGCCCAAAAAAGACGCATAAAGTGAAACAAACCTCTTGAATACTACACAAATAAAACCATATAAATGAAACGTGCTGTACATTGACGGCCATCAATAACTTCTCCTCAAATATGCTACACAGCTGTGAACTTAGTTCGTTTGTTGAGCACGTGTCCGGCAACCATTCGATGTGTTCCTCTTTAATTTCACAAAAACAGCAATAAAAATAAGTTACAATCAAAATCGGTAATACAATGAACAATAAACAATAACCAAAAGATACATACCAATGTTGGGTGGTAACGCTATCTGATGTGCTCGTGCAATATATGAAAATAGATAAGTCAGCGATATATCCAATTTTTCGATTCGCTCTCTCACTTTTTCGTCCTCGTCTTCCACCAAAACATTTCGCANATAATAATAATAATAATAATAACCAATAAAAGATAAAAATAAATAACGAACCATTAAGAACACATCAAAACCCTCCTCGAAGTACTCCTCATCCTCGTCAATCACCATCGATCGCTGACGATTCGCTACCATTCCCTTCAAGATGCATCAGTAAATAATCGATTCGTTTCAATTTCAATCCAACAACTCACATCAATCGTAATCAAACTATCCAATAGTGTCGACAATAGATCTCTGCGTATTTTACTCGCATAATCACTCAGTTTTATTGTATTCCTCACGAAACTTTCATATTTTTGAAGTGGATGCGAAAAGTGTGGAAATAAATGTGAGACGACTTGTTGAACCACTTTCGAGCACCTGAAATTATCGATTTTAAATTGATATTGAATGATCGCAATAATAAGAATAACAAATCAATAACATAATAAGAACAACGAATCAATAATATAATAACATAATAAGAATAACATAATCGATAATAACAACAATAATAACAACTGACATCGGATAGCATCGTAGCAAAAATTCAATCGACTGATGCGATAATGAATAGATTTCATCTTGTTCCCTCTCGTCCAATACCAACTCAAATTTTGGTGTTGTCTTCAAACGAGTTCGATTCAACACTCCACGCTCTAAATATTTGAAAATCACTGTTCTGTTCGAAAAAAAATTTGTTTAACCCATTTGGAGACAATTCCCATGAACGAACAATTTTCTTAAAAATGAGAACGCTAGCGAGAGTGAGTGATCTCTACATCAGTTCAATACGATCGCGAAATCAATGACCAATTTAACAAAACAACTCTCTAACGTCAAAATCAGCAATTACAAGTCTTTCATACCATTAATGCTCGTCACACCTTTCGCTCATATCAATATACAAAAACAACAACTTAAAAACTGATTCAATAAAGTAAATACAAGCAAATAAAAGCGTCCAAAGGCAATCACCATCATCATTCATATCCACATTTGGCACAATCAAACGCGTTTTCGCAATAAAATGTCTGATAAACGCGTAAATAATTGTCTCAGTATGACAGATGTGTTGAATGGCCAAATCTCTTAAGAATTTCACAAATCGTTCACGATGATTCGTTGACGATGAAGTGGACAGTGGAATCACATGCCATTCTATTTCCTGAAAAATACCACAAATCTTTGTCACACCCTTTTCTTCTCAAAATTCCCAATTCAATAACATTTTTAATTCAGTTGCTTTGAACTCCTCGAAGAAATATGAAAACATTCCGTTGCAGTCCTTTTGCAAGTTCCACTTCAAAAAAATATCGCTTTATATCCAACGGCACTTTATACGAGATTGTTCAGAAATTCGGTCGCAAAATTTTGATATTTTGAAAGATTACGCGACCCTGGCCACCAAAGAGAGAAGTTGCAACTATTTATCACAGATCACAGAATAACTCCACTGAAATAAACTCAAGAATAAACAAATTTCTAAACGAATGAACAATAAAGAAGTGAACGAACCGCCAGTTTCTTCACCAACTGCTTACAACTCGCATCCAAAACATCCACCAAATCAACGAACTGATTGATAAACTCAACTTTCTGCTCATAATTCCACTGCTCTATCAAATCAATCGTCTTACACAACTTCTCGTACGCTATCAAACTCGGCCCTTCTCCCTTCAACAATTCAATGATGATGGTTATATGATAACAAAACTGCATAAGATGATATGAAGAAATACCTCTCTGAACGCGATTATGATGGTTCTCAACGTAACCGGCCCCGTACTGGAGCTTTTCGCTGATGCTGTCATTATTACTTTGTGTCAACAAATTCATCAATTTTATACGATCTTCATGAATCCAATCCTAAAATTTTTTCAAATCTCTTTTCATTTTGAAGTCGAGTAACTATTTTTAAATCTTAAACATTCAAGTGGAATGTTTAAAGTTTATTTCACTTCAAATGCACAGAAGTTCCGTTTCCTCCTCCTAAACCATCAACGATCTCGTGCAACTAAATTCGACCCTCCTTCAGTCAGTCATTACGCAATCTGCTAACTCACCATCGCATATCAAAAAAAAATTTTCAAAATTATTAGACAATAAATCAGTCTGTTCCGAATGCGGATTTCAATTGAATAGTGATCATAACTACAACGTAAAATTTTATTTCTGAATAAACATTTCACTTGATACATTCCAAATTTCTCACGATTACGATGGAATTTCACTTCCACTCCGTTCATATTCAACGCCAAAACAAACGAACGATTTCGTGAAATGAGAAAATAATCTCATCATTTGCCACCGAACATTCTTGCTGTTGATAACAATAATTATATGCCACGAATAGTTTGATAATTTTCTGATAATTAAACACACACCGAAATTACTCACTGATAATAATAATAATAATAATATTACAAAAATAATCATTGGCATTTGTTACAGAAAAGAAATGCAAAAATGCAAATTAAAAATATACACCGAAAGTGATCGAAAGTGAAAAGTTCGAAATAATTATACAAATAAAAATAAATAATTCACAACGCCAGCAACGATCGCATCAGCAAATCACTATGAATAGCAAAAGATTATCGAATTTTCTTCAATTTGAGTTCATCAATGACAGCAAATAAAACGAACCAATAGACTCACACTGTACACGGATTATTTGTTTGACTAGTCGAACGAATTCATCGATAATCGCGAATAGAAACGGGTCTGCGAAGGTGACATAAAACTCATTGATGATGACGACAATAATGACGAAAAAAACAATCGTCGCATTACTAATAAAAAATATTATACATTGATCAAACTAAAATCAAATACGACTGCAAGCAAAAGCGACCATATAGAACCATCCTGTCATTCAACGCAATCGCTCCACAAAACCAATTCAACGACTCATCAAATGATCAGTTAAGAATTGTATCGGTTATATCTATTTGAGAATACGATCGTGGCAAAGAAGAGAGTCAACAACGTGAGCAGAAGCATCGAAAACCGGTCCGTATATTGCGGATAAAAGAATACGAACGCCCATAACATCATGAATTTCACTGCAACACAA